GATCCCCAAAGGTTCAAGAAGTAGATCTGCCTTGACCCATCATTTAAAGTGCTCACATTATGACAGAAAGTATTCAAAGTGTCCCTTTAGACTGCTTCTTGGGGGACCCCTTGATCGGACTAAGGTGAAAGGTTCCTCTTGGAATGCCACTCCCAAGTGACCGTGCTCACTGAAGTCAAGTGTTTTTCTTCTGCACTACGGGGAAAATGGCCGAAAAGGGGGTTAAAACTTTGATTAGAGATGTTGCAAGTAGGGAAAATGCTTACTTCAATTTAACTTCTGCTTTTCAGAAGACATGAGTACATAAATTATGTAGAAGAACGGTGATTACTAGACTGTCTAAAAGCTGGAGGCTCTAGGCCAATTTTCAACCAACTGTCACAGAACATAAGTCTCAAAATATGTTTAAACTAAACTGACAACTATAGAAAAAATGTAAAATTCTTTGAAAGGCTGGGTTATGTGAACTGACGAGGATCTCAGAAACCACATGCTATTTAGCACACAGCAAACTTCACTGCAACCTTCCTACTCTCTTCTGGAGGGAATATTAAAGGAGGCAAAACGGATGCTCCCCCAGTGAAGCTGATGCAAGCAGTTGAAAGACTCTTCCCAGTGTTAAGTGTCCAGTGTCCAGCAGAAGTATGGTCTGTCCCAAAATGGAAAGATAGTGAGAGGTTGTTGGGCCTTTTAAGCTGGTAGATGACTAGCCACATACTTGGGAATCCCACCTTCCTGTGTGGGAGAAGCTTGCCTCCTAGCTGATTTAGACATCTGAAACATTGTTATATTCCAATCTCTTGATTTTATAGGTCAAACTAAGGTCAGGGAGTCTCCATTAGGTATCCCAAGTGCCAGAGACATAGATTTAGGACCTGAATTTCATGAATCCCCAGCTAAAATGCCTTTTTTTTTTAAAGATTTATTTTTATATAAGAACTGGGGTACAGGCCAGATGTGCGGGAGGGTGAGAGGACTCACCAGGGACAGAGCGGGGAACAGAACAGGCAGACTGACAAAATACACTGCTGAGGGGAGCAGCGGGCAAGACAGGAGAGGTCTGCTTCGCCATGCGGGATTCTCACCGGCCAGCAGGGATTGAACCCGCACTGCAGAGGCTGCAGACAGCTTCACAGTGTGGCGCTCAACTGCCTGCACTACCAGGGAGGCCCTAAAATGCCTGCTATCAGTTAGACCTTAGGCATAAAGCAATAATATTTGAGATGAGGAATTATTTAGCTGGCTCTGCAGTTTTGCAGAATAACTCTTGATTGTAGCTGTGTGACCAAATGTCCATGGGAATTTCAGGGAGTCTGTGAAATCCCTGAAATGATGCATTCAATTTTATGTGCTTGCATGTATATATTTTTTTTAGGAGGAAATAGTTTAGCTTTCCTTTATTCTTCAAATCTGTGATCACACCAAGTGATAAAAACCAGTGTACTTGAACAAGGGAATAGAAGGAAAGAAGAACCACAAAAGAGCAGTTTATGTATATAGCCAGGGAAACTTATCAGAAACTAGCTGAACACACAATGCAAGCTTCCTATTAAACTACTCAGGCTATAGGTAAGTGCCCACAATAGTAAAAACAAAAGCTCTGTGGTGTCTATGAAAAACACACTTGACAGACTGATAAAAATGGATTTCATTTTACGTCTAGAGTTTTACATACCTTGGTATAATATGCAACCATCACTTTGCAAACCAAAACCAGGACTCCGAAGCTCTGGGTAATTTAGGGGTGAGGGGATTATTTCTGTCTCTGAATATTCCCTTCAGAAAATCGTGGTAAAAGATGTAATGACTACTGACTGGGAACAACTGTTTCTTTCAATTCAGCTGTAGACTCTTCAGGGAAAACGCTCATCTTTATAACTGTGTCAATTAGGCAAACACTAAACACTGCCTTCTGTTCTTTATGCTGATAATGTCAGGGAAGAAAGTGGCTGATGTAATCCTGAAGATGGAACTAATATTGAGAGCCTCATTATCCATCATGGGAAAGCCTTCTCCTCTATGTCCATGCTGGCTATGGCAAAGACAGGCCTATAAAAGAGCAGGTTCTGAATTATCTTCATGTGTGGATAGACAAGAAATGCATTGGAAAGTAGTTTGAGGAGAAAACCCAGAAAGCCAGAATGAACATAAATGAATTTGGGAAACAGTCCATACTGTCTTTTGAAATAATATTCAGTGTTTATCTGGAGCGTCTCTTATAATGGAGTAAAACAATTTCCTGAGGATGGGAGATCATAATCATCTGACAAACCAGGAATAACACTTTATTTAATTGTAAAGAATGATGTACAGGATTTTCCACCTATTCCTCACCAGTGACAGAAATATCATCATGAAAATTAAACCTCGAGGTCAGTAGGCTAAAAGGACAGTCTGTGCCAGGCCAGTAGTCTAAATGCTAAGAGGCACCAGGCCAAGAAGGTGCACAGACATAAATTGGGCAGTGGCACTGATACAATTATGGGCTTAGATGGATTTTCAAAGGTAGACCGGAAGTTGAACCACAGAAATTATGGGAAAAAGTGAGTATGAAGGCAATCAGAAGAAAATAGATGTGGAAAGACATTTTACTTAAAAAAAACCCTGTAACTCTAACTAAAACTCAGTGTCTGCAGAGGGACCTTCATGGTCCTCAAACATGCATAAAACAGGATGGAGGGAGGAAGGGGCCACACACATCTTTATAAGTTCAGTTTCAGAGCTGCACGTGCAGGGCCAAGTGTGATTCCCTCCCAGGGGGCTGGGGCCTGCAGGAGCCCTAGGTCCATGTGACTTGTGAGCATCCAGAACAAGGATCTCGGGAGGGAATTTCACAAGCACAGAACATATTTTTTCTCCCTTGACTCTGCTCTCTAGTTTTTCTCTCCCTCTGCTATTGTTTAATTTGTGGTTCAACTTTTTGAAGAATGGTGGGAGGTACTGTGTTAAGCAATGCTCTAAGAATGAGGCTCAGCTGCAGTGATGAAAATCGGCCTCCCACATCTTTCAAACCAATTGTGATTCCACTTAAAACAAAAAGAAAGATAGAGCAGAGAGCAGGCAGGATGCTTTATTCATCCTTGTCTGTGCAGCCTTCATGCCCAGCACAGAGTAGGCACAGAACAGATGTCCACTTAAGGGACTTTGTCATTTTATCTAAATAGCTTTATATTGTGTTCTGTTCTATGTTCAAATAGATGCCAATGGTCATATCACTTAACGTGCTTTTCAGCAATCTTTTGTTGATCCATATGACTCCATTAATACAAGTGATTAAGTAGCCATATCTGGCACAAAACTATCCTGATCAGAGAGCACCAGAGATATCTTAACACTTAGTCAAGAGATGGGCAAGAAATCAAGAAAAATCACCAGACTAGCAGATTTTAAAAAGCATGAGGACACCAGAGTGCAAACGAGGCAGTTAAGATGAAATAATTTTCAATTCTTTCTATATGATTAACGCAAGAGCCTGATTATCACTAATACTGGATATATGTACATATATCCATATGTATATATGTACAATGTTGTCCAAGAATTTTATAGTAATGCTACTTATTAATACATGCCACAGATAAGATAAATTAAATGACTAAAATAATTAGATTCCTGTGAATAATTCTTAATTCTCTGTAATATTTTATAGATGAGATGATGCTTATAAAGAATACTTATTAAATGCGGTTTACATTATATGCTACAAAGTATATTTCAATTGAAATTAAGGAACTATCTATAAGGCACAGCCTATAAGTCTGGAGACAAAATCATACACAGGATATTTATGTGAATAAAGTCTAGATCAAAAAATGGTTTAAACGCCTCCATAGTGGCGCAGGAGTTAAAGACACAGGGCAGGATATTGACAACAATTGCAGCATGAATTCCACCTCTGGCTGGCCAGGGAGCTAACCACATGGCACAGCAGACATCTCCTGTCTTGCCAGCTGTTCCCCTCAGCAGTGTATTTCAGGAGATCTGCTTGTTCTGCTCCCCACTCTCTCTGGAGTGAATCCTCTCACTCCCTCACCTCTGGCCTACACTCCAGTCCTTGTATGCATAAATTAATCTTTAAAAAAATGGTTTAGAAAGCTTAACATTCCTTTATTGGTAAATATATTTTCAAAGAAAATAATTAAAGCAAATGGTACACTTTAAAAGATATGTTAAACGTTTCAATTCTGAGAAATTCTTCAATTCTAACATTTCATCTCCCAGGAAGAGAAAACAATTTGAGAAACTGCTATCTTGGACCTATCCCGATCAGCTGTTAAGATTCAGACCGTGGAGTACAAAGAGGGAAGACCTTAGATTTCACGGAGACCAACAGGGAAAAGACTAGTCATAGTCATGAATGTATTTTAACTTTTAGGAAGCAGAGTTTAAACAATTTAGACAAAGAGGTGGGGAAAAGACTCTTTGACAAGCAGTTTGGGAATGACTGGAGTTAAATGGTTTATAAAAAAACAATCCTATATTTAGGCCTTGATAACTCAAAGACAAATTTTATTTTAGAATTAGGCAATATTACACATTAGAGGGCAAAGGAATGAACAATGAATAATTGTTTTCCAAATAGCTGAACCTTCAGGAAAATGCTCAGCTATTTGGAAAATTATGTAGTAACTGTTCCCACTACGCGTTCTCCAAAATAAGTCCTACCAGCATAATCAGACTCAAGTGTAGAAAACAGAACTTTTAGAGCAATAACGATAGATGGAAATGCAGGTAAATAATCAGTTTCAAACACAAAAGATGGCAAGAACCTATTGAAACAATTTATGAACAAAAAATTAATAATGATCATCAGAACTCACTTTCAAGAACTCTAATGATTTCTATACCAGTTTATGAATCTTGAGTCTTGAGTGACTGAATTAATAAATAACTAGCATTTACAAATTCTGGATATAAGCAACTCCAAGGAACTTTCAAAATCAAGAACATAGGATCAAGTTGTTCTTTACTGAAGTCAGACAACGTTAAGGAGAACTTACCTGCAGCAAATAACAGCTTTGCACGACAAAGCTAAGTCCAGGAAGTACTGCCGTACTCCAAATGTTAAGGCATACTTGAGGGTTTTTCCATCAATGATAAGAGCAAAATCATTCTCTTTCCGAAGAGCATCACCAAGGGTAGTACAATGACGACTAAGAGTTTCCCTTGTTCCCTGTAAAATTAAACAAACAAAAGCGCCCTCAACATTTACTCCCATTTGTTGTATTAAGATGCCTTAAGTATGTTTGGCAACTACATTTAGTTATTTTTAGTGCTTTTTATGTTTCAAATGACTTTCACATACCTCTACTCATTTAATTCTTACAAAAGTCCCTCAAAGGAGATTGGACAAATGTTATGAGAAAAAGTTATTCGCTTGAAGTCAGACATCTGTTCCTAGCAGGGTTGGAACTAGATTACAAGTCGCCCATTCCTCTGCAATTTTTGCTACAATCACAATACTACAAAAATATGCTCAGTAAATTATCTTGTTAAAAAAACAAATAACATAGTCCTAATTTATGAACTAGTCAAAATTGCTTAGCCATGAGTCAGGGGGAAAGTTGGGAAATATAATTTAAATAATTTATGGTTATTCTTTCAGAAGAACTCAATGCTATTGAAACTTAATTCCCAGGAAACCAAGAAGAGGAAATGCAGTATCTGTAATCTCTTGCCACTTCATAAGTTGGTTCCTATAACTTTAATCATGAATTCCTGATGCTGTATTTTACTTAGGTATGGTGACATGTGGCTTGGTAATCCTGATGGATCAAATAAAAGAAGGCATCAGTGAAGAGCTCACATTCTGGCACAATAAAAACCTTTCCTGTCAAGGAAGCTTTGTTCACCTCCACTATACAGAGGTTGTATTTATCTCCCTCTGTCAAGAACTGCTTTTCCAGCTCTTCAAAGGGAAAAATGTTTCAGGATATTTGATTTTTCTTCCCAAATCCTGTGAACACTTCCTGTAACCTAATGGGGCCAGCTTCCCATTTCACAAGAGTCCTATCGTTAAGAAACAGAACATAGTCTCTGCATATGGAAATAGAAGGAATGATGGCTCTCCTATTAGGGTTTTGAGTGCTAATATTGGAGTCTAGGTTATTTATATAATAAATACAAACACATATTTATATAATAAAATATACCTACAGTAAGAGATATAATATTTATTAGATTCATGGGAGATATAACTGTTTCAATTTAAGAATGTGGTATAGTCAATTCACAGTTATTTTCACAAAGAGGGAAGCAAAGGCAGAGGTAATTAAAATTTTATATTGGGAATTTTGGAAGGTGTTTCTGCATTTGTATTTAAATGTCGTTCATACTAGGTTTTGGAGTTTCAGAATCTGTTGATCAAAAATAATAGAACCATGGTGTACTGTAAAGTAAGACTACCCTAACTCCCGATGGTGGAACTTCACTTAACACTTCCCCTGCTCCCCATTATACACAGCAACATGAGAGACCACCACAGAGCAGCAGTTTTTTTGTAAAATTTTGTTCACACTTTCCATCAGGGGGTAGTAGCTGGTTTAATTTACAGCCTCACTCTCCTATTTTCTGTGGGAAATTTTTGGCCCAAGAGGACTTAAGGAGGTGAAAATGTCAGTAAAATTCTCAAACAATAACAGAAAAACAAACAAAACAAAAACAGAAGAGAATCTACAGATTACCCTGGATTGTTTTAACAGTAGATGGACAAAGATGAAATGATTTACTTAAGCAAATTAATGAAAATAAAACAATACTTGGCATGTAGCACACAGCAGGCACTGTTCGAAGGACTACACATTCAGGTATAACATTTCAGTTAAACTTATTACAACCCCACATGGGTGCACCATTGTACTCCATTCCACAGTTGGGGGACATGCGATTTAAAGCATTATGTTCCTTGCCCAAAAACATGGCTACTAAATAGTGAAACCAAACTTAGAATTCAATTTCTGTGCTGGCTTGTCTTTATAAAATACATCAAAAACCCAACTTTAGACACTACCCAGCTTAGCAAATCATCCACGAGAGCCCACACCACACCCTCTCATTTCCCCAGACTTCTCATCATCTGCCCCTCATCTTGTCTTTACCACCAACGGAGATTTCTCCTTATAAAACAACTGTCAAATATAAGTCACGTCTCCTCTGTCTCTAAAGGTTTTCAATGGTTTCCCACTGCCTACATGATAAAGTTCAAACTACTTCAAATAGCATTTAAGACTTTCCACTATCTAAGCCCAGTTAACTTGCATTCACATTTCCCTTCACAATCTTGACTCCTGTTCTCAGGGCATCCTCCCTCCATCACCTTTTATTATTATTTTTTTAATAATCATCATATTTGCATTTTCAAATACCTTCAGAGTCATCACAAAGATTAACTTCCCTAATGACATATGAATGACTATTTTATATTTAAACTGAAATCTAATAATCTAATTTTATAAGAATTATAGACTTATATTCTTATTTCAGTCTTTTAAAATTTTATTATTTTTTAATTTTATATATTTTTAACATCATTTTTCATTTTTGCACAATGTATGCATTTTCATCTTGGTTATAGTCCCCATACAATTCTCACCCTCCCTTGTTTTGATCCTGCTCCCTCCTCCCCCCCGTGGTGTGTCTCTGGTTTATAGCTGCTTGTTGATTTTAATTTTTACTTTATTATAATTAGTCTGTTTCCTGGTCCCTTATTTAGGTTTTCTAAATTCCTGCCATGACTGAGACCATCCAGTATTTTTCTTTTTTTTTTTTTCTGGGTTATTTCGCTGAGCATGATCCCTTCCAGCTCCATCCATGTTGCTGCAAATTTTATGTGTTTATCTTTCTTGAATGCTGAGTAATATTCCATTGTGTATATGTACCACATCTTCTTGATCCAGTCATCTATTTTTGGGCATTTGGGTTGTTTCCATAGCTTAGCTATGTAAATAGTGTAAACAGTGCTGCTGTAACCCTCCATCACCTTTTAAGCCAAACCTACCCTGTCGAGCGCTTCCAGGTTCACTCGGCGCTGCTGGGTGTGACTCAGTCTATGCTAGCACTACCCTCAGTTCCTTGAGGGCTGAGACCATGTTTAACCTACTTCCCAGCAATAAACACAGTGCCTGGGATTCCAGAAGTTTGGAAAGTATATTATTTATGGAACGAGAGCTCTGATAAAGTCTTTGTTCATCCCGTTGGCGGCAGTCCATTCTTTCTCCTATTATTTATTATCACCCTTGATTTGAGAGCAAGGAAGAGGGTGAGGGAGACAACAAAAGAGGCAACACTTGGCTTCTGGTTATCCTATGATTTTGCAGCAACATCCACACATATATAGGGAGGGCTGGGCTGGCCAACCAGCAGGGCCATGGCCCCTGTGTCACTGGCACCTTGCCCAGATGACCAGTCCATCCAGATCATAAAGGTGGAAATCTTGGCCAACAGTGCCACAAACTAGTGGGCAAGCAGTTCCATGACTCCAAGTTTCTGCTGTCACGCTGTCCTGTGTTACCAGCATGAGCCATACTTTATCACCCAGAGTCCCAACCCCTTTTAGATGCAGGACCCACTCTGTCCCCAGATCTGCCAGAATACAGTCCTGGGGTTGGGGGTGGGGAACCAAATCTATGTGCAGGCAGGTAGGCAATTAGGACGTCGCTTCCTTGTTCTTGATTTTCTAGAGAACAGATAATCCATTTCTTCAAGTCTTTGAAACCCAGGCATTGTTCACTAAAATACCACTATGTTTTTTAAACTTTTAGCCAAGTTACTCCTTAGGTGAAAACCCAAATGAAACCTGAGTTGTACTTCAGATTTCTGTAAAGATGGTTGCAGAACAAGATGAAAAGTCAAGCAAAGCTGAGCCGTGCAAGCTCCCTCATTAGCCAACCTGTGGCACTTGATGCTGGGTGGGTGCCCCCCTCCGCATTTTGCTCCCCTCCACAGTGTGTTCTCTAACACCTTCAGATTTGTTGCAACCTCTCTTATTTGTGGCGTCAGTCCCCCTGGATTTCCTTGGTGATGATCACAGATCTTCAGCAAATCAAAAGGTGTCAGCAGATGTAACAGAGGCAACATTTCAGAAGATGAGTCAAAAACTTCTCAGTGAATTCTCTAGGCAGCCCACCTAAGTGTAAGGTAGCAACACCGGCAAAGCTGTGACCATTCCCTTATTTTAGTTCACTGTTTTCTTTTATAAGTAGCTCTGTTGTCAGTTATGTGCTGCCAGTTACAAGTTATATGTCACCCTTATTTATACTGCCAGGAGTATTTTAAAATTCTCTTATTTGTGAAAGTTTATTGCTTCTCCCCTAAGCCTGGGAGCCATAGTTTATGGCCTTATTGCATTGAAGCTTATCTCCTGTAGTTAGAAATAAATTTATTACTATATTAGATGTTGCTTTGTTTTCTTTTTGGCTACTGAAGGGGGAAATGTTTAAACATTTAAACTTAGTGACATGTGAAAGTGAAAATACATAAATGAGAAGTTAAATTAGAAAATGGATAAAAGGCCACATAGTACAACGAAATTAAAACTGTATCTCTATTTTGTACACAGTCTTGTTTGTGGGCTGCAAGAAAAGAAGCATCTGTTGCTGTAATCAGGCAGAGTCAGAGAAATGAAGGCAGTTTGGGGAAAAAGGCAGCGGAGGGATAAGGGGAGAGCTGGGGTTCAGGAACCTCACTAGGCAAAGATCCAGGCAAGGGGGAAGCTATAGACAAAGTGGGATCTGCTTGCATCTCCTCCAAATTATGTTCCATGTTGGCTGTTCCTGTGTGTCATTCAATACTACTCCCTGTAACCCAGCCCGTCACACGGCCCAGCCTTCATAGGAAGCTTTTAGCTCCTGGACCTCCTACTCTGCTTTCCTGCTTTGCCAATTCAAAAGTGAAATCACGGGCCTCCCTCGTGGCGCAAGGGGTTAAGCACCACACAATGACTATATCCTCAGCCTCTGCAGCACGAGTTCAATCCTGGGCCAGGTAACTGACCCACATGGCACAGCAGCACACCTCTCCTGTCTCGCCCACTGCTCCCCTCAGCAGTTTATTTCAGTCAGTCTGCCTTTTCTGTTCCCCACTTTGTCTCTGATGGATCTTCTCACCCACCCCCATCTCTGGCCTGTACCCCAGCTCTTGTATGCATAAATTAATCTTTAAAAAACAAAAGTGAAA